GGCTGGGTTTGAACCTGCTACCTCTGGCATATGAGGCCGGCGCCCTACTCCTTTGAGCCACAGGTGCCACCCTATCAGATACATTTTTAATTTTATGAATGAGGAAGTCAGCAAGGTGAACAATATTCCACTTTTATTATAATACTTCCTGTTATTAAGCCAAATGATGATGGCAAATTAATATATTGAAAATAGTTTAATGACATAAACCTGGCAGTAACTCACCACATGAGATAGTATTTATCAGATACACCAACTTCAGATTTTAAATACTTTGAAAAAAATCAATTTCATAGTAACTTTTGGGATCGCCTCAAAACCTACAATTGGCAACTGACTATTTGTTACCTTCAATCAAGTCCATTTTCTATAAAATTAATCTTAAGTAAAGGGTAAGTGATGCTTCTAAAAACACTTGGTACTATTTGGAAAATGTTACTCTGAATTTGTATCATAGTAGGGAAAAGACAGAAACCATGATGCTATCTAGCTCTACTTTTAACTAAAGATACTTGTCTATCACTTATCAGATATTTGATTCAGAAAGAATATTGAAAATGAGTTGTTCTTAGTTTCCAAAGACTGAATGTCACTTATTTTTAGTTTTCATAAAAAAAAAAAAAAAAAAATTGCCGGGTAACTTCCAAAGACTTTCAGAATATTGACCATTGCTCAAAGCCACATCAATTCAAAAGGTCATAATCAATCCCAAATCCCTTTCCCTGAAAACAGGTGCCTTCCAAATAAAGAAAGATACCTAAATAGATCCTTTAAAAAACATCTGTACTCAGCTATTGTTTATCTCACAAACATTGCGATTTTATTTACCTATGAAATTTAAGAAATGTAAAAGTGCTGGAGAAATTTTCTGACATCAGTATTTTAGTTGTTCTTTTATATTATTAATTAATCTAATTTAGACTTTACCCATGGAATCTAAACATGCTATTCCATATCATAGGTTTTAAAAGTGGCATTTATTGTCAAGAATAGAGTGACATTCCACACATTACCAGTTTGTCAGATCTACCAATTTATGGGGTCTTGATGTTTTTCAAAACTCAGCCCAATCCTCTGGAGTGACAATATTAGTTCAAGAGAAGAGAAAGAATCTAAAAAATGCATACCGGCAACAAGCTATCACATTTTAGTGTTTAAAAATGAAAAAGTCATGTATTTGACCATCACATCTTTATATTGTAACCTTCTCATGACTAAATGTGATGAAGAGACAAAATTCATTCAGTAGACTACAACATAGACTTTGGCAATCTCATAGCTATTAAAAACATGTTAAGATTTTCTAATATTAACCACGCAGAGCCCACCAAATCTATTGCCAGGAAGCTGATCTGAACTCAAATTTCAGCCACAGATGCAAATGTTCCAATATGTTACTCTAAGACAGAATCACAGAGACAATACTTGTCAGGTGCTATGCATCATCTAACTTTGCTGTTCCATTTTTCCAAATTTGCCATGAGGCATTCAGCCTATGTTTGAGCTGATTTGTGACTGACAGACGAGGACGAGCGTGTGTGTGCATGTGTGCCTGTGTTCTCTAGTAGACGATTTGGTTTGACTTAACTCTGTATGCAATTCTCTTACCTTTGGTTTCTGATGTTTCTCCTTCTCTGAAACATTAGATGGTTTTCTCTTCAGCATTTTGAATTCAGACTACTTCTAGTGAGTTCACTTTCTGCCGTTACAGAAACAACTGAAAACAGTCGGCAGTGTGCTGTCTGCGATGTACAGCATCAGATAAGTTTGAGCCCAGTGACCTGCCACTTCCTCTTTTGGTCAGGATGTGACTTCAACATCTACATGGGTAGAATTTTTTTTTTTTCTTACCGTAATCTGTTGTAACTCTTCATTGTCCCGTTCCTGCTATATTCTATGAGCTAGGTTCCAAATGTCCCATTGCCACATGCCTGAAGTTACCACAGGAGACATAAGGATTTTAAAACAAAACTCATTTTCTCAGTTGATATAAAAATTAAAATCTATAATACATTCTATTGGTAGAAGAATGAAAATATCAGAGCCAATTAGTAAAATAAAACTTGAGCTGTTGGCTTTTGTTATTTAAAAAGATAAGAAAATATTCAGGGTAGTCAATTTTACATTTCCAAATAAATGTAGTCAAATGGTAAGTCAGACCTTAAACAATATTAATCCTACTTAAAGCGTATGTGTATATACTTTCAAAATAGAGTAGGGGTGAAATTCATTCTAAACATATTAATAAATGGGAACATAATTCCAGAAGTAAATGATTATGTACATGTTACTTTTTAAGTATACTTCTATGTTGTAAAGTCCTGGTTAATAAATAAATTAAACAGTCCCCCCCCCAATTAACAAGATGTCTTTCTGCTAAAAACTGTAATGCTATAGACTGATAATAGCAGTCCCAGTGATGATCCAACAGATCAATGGAACTTTCAAATGAAACACCTAATATTTCTATTAAATAGGCCCAGTAGAGATCATATGACTTAGAAAGACTTCTCTACTCAAACTAAATGTGTAAAAATGTTACTATCATGTCAAAACCAAGACACCCAGTAGTAAGAGCAAGAAGTTCAAGCTTTCTTGTTACATGATGATTTACCACAAGGAGACTCCAGAATATCTGAAACTCTAGTTCCATTAAAATAGGCTTGTTTTAAAAAGTCAACCTAGATTTCTGCACATAAATCCCCTATATGGACAAGCAGTAATGCCATGCTCCTATTCAGCAGCTTGTCCAGGGGACAAATCCATCACCAACTGTTTTTCTCAATCTTCCCTCAGACCTCCAAGCCGCTTCTCCTTGAGACCCAAATTCCACGGATTCGTTTCACAACCAAGGTTCGAATTCCACTAATTCATTTAACAAATATTAAGTTGAGTGTCTGTTATGTGCTTTTTGACAATATATCAAACCTCTGGACAAGCTAAAAAAAAAAAAACCCTGTATTTTAATTCTGTAATAAAATTGAAAGAAGATACTTGTCCGGTTTACTGTTGATATTCTTCTATCAGACATGAAAAGCAGAATTTTATTTTTAAAAATTATTAAGCTGGTATTTTCAAGACACTGACACAAAAGACAACACTAGAAATCCTCAGAACTCTGAGGTTGGGTAATTCCCTAGAAGTATTAAACTTTCTGTTTAGGTGTGGGTCAAGGCCGTAGCAGAAGCACATTTCCTGTTTCATTTTTTAAGAAATTGAAAGTCATGAAAAAATCTATTTCTTAACTGAAACATGTATCCTTTATAACCCCATTTCTTCATCTATGGATAGAAATTTAATTCATCAGAGTGCAATTAATAAAATGGGGATGATGATGCTTATAACATGATAGAGTTTTATTGAGAATAAAAGGAAATATTGATAACAGACATACTTATCAAACATGTCTGATGTATTTCCGTAATGTTTTATGTCACAAATGTTTGCAGGCCCTAAAGGGTCATGAGATAGTAAACGGTTATGTTTGGTGTGGTGTTCCCAATAGTTAATATCTCTGCAATGATAACTAAAGAACACAGAACACTCATGTTCATGGTGTCCAGGGAGGGCTGGATGCAGCATTAAAGTGTTACACTCAAGCTGTTTGTATTTTGTGTACAATCTCAACCTAGGATCTGTAGGCATTTTATCACCATTAACACTATAAGGAATATTTAAAATGTAAATAAAATTAAAATCTTCCTTCAATTACAGATGGAGGAAGCAATTTTCCAATCTTTCTCTACTCAAGAAAAATGATTTCTGGGGGTTAAAAGACAGATTGAGGCCCCATTACCATGTAACTATGTTAAGCTTCTTTTTTGTCCTTAAAAAAATCTCAGATGACAAGTGGGCAAATGTTTGTATCAATCCTTTACTATTTGATGGAACTCTGAGGACACGGGCATAGTATTTCATGACTAATCCAGAGTGATTCAGCAAGTTTAAAAGTCAAAGACAGACAAAGAGGAATGGAGTAGAGTCATATTAGAGCACATCTAACCCCCAATCCTGACAAACCACTAGGCCACATTTTGCTTAAGTCATGTTCTGAAACAGGGAAATTGCAAAAGTGCAAAGTCGTGGTGTTTTGTTGTCACACAATACCTTAACTGGTCTTGTAACCCAGACAGGATGAAACAAGGTTGGGACTTTGTGGCACATCAGTTGCTATTTCTGCGTCATCAATGATGAATCGAAATTTCAAAGAATTTGCAATCAAATGGCAGAGAATGGGGTATACTTCATGGGAAATTAAGGTTACCCATAGAACAGTTGCTTTAGAGATCTAGTAAATATATTTAGTGTATTGCTAAAATATAGGCTATCAATTTCAAATTGTACATAGGAGAAGAGAACATGGGACTATTCTGTCTGATGACCAGGTTCTGCGACATTGCTTACCCGAGGCTCTCCCTCCGCCTTCTCCCATCCCTCTGCTTCCACACCCCTTTGCCTTCCACCAGCAAGTTGAAGAAAATACTTAAATAGTAATGTTCAGATCAATCCTACTCTATTTTATTTTATTTAGGTATGTGGATGGTTTTTCAAACAATCTTTTAAAAGGGAATTAGATTCCCTGCTTTGCCTTATTAGTTATAACGTCTCTAACTTGTGGACTTAGGCACAGTCAACCTTATGCTCCCCATATTGCTGGGACGGCCATGACCAAAGATATTTTTATAACTATAAAATACTCCTGACCATACCTCAAATGTTTTGTTGAAGGAGAAAAAACAAAGAGATATCTTTCAGGAGCTTGAAAGTAAGTGGAATCAGATTGCCATCATGGAGTCTGAAATTAACATTTACTGTTAGAAAAATCATGTTATAGAAGAAAATGTAATCATTCAAATCTACAGAATTTATTCACCCATAAAGAAAAGGCATCACCCATAAGAGTAACTTAAACTTAATAGTTGCTCTCTTCTTTGTGGCCCCTCAGCACAGATTTCTTTCTATAGAACAAGGAAGAGACATTTATACAAAGAAGTCCAGTGGGGTGTTGTGTTTCTACTTGTTTATGGTTTGGTGAAAGTGAGGAATCCTACACTACCGGGCAAACTCTCCCTCTGCTCAGGGTGTCCTGAAGCAAATACACACTGGCATCTGATAAAGCTTTAGGAAATTCTGTTTTAATAATTCAGTTGATGGCTGCAATGCCATACAGAGAGGAATTGTCATACCCTTCTCTAGCTACCCAGCTCATTCTTACTATACGGTGGATAATACACTTCCATGTTTGGGTTTGGGGGTTTTCAGAGGAATGACAGGAAGAGGTTCCCCCTGCCTGTGGCAGGGGTCAAGGAAATGGAGCCACAGTGGTTTCACTTTGAACCTCACATTTCCTAGGTCTCTCAAGTCGTCTACCCTATTTGCTTGTCCTTTTCTGAAGGAACCTGCCCCCTTCCCTGGCTCTTAAAGTCCCCTCTAATGTCTTAATATTTTGAGGAGAAGATTAGGGGAAGAGAAAATTCTGATTCTAAAGACAGGAAGTGGACAAAAGATGGGAGGTATTGCATTTTTTCCCAATGAGGTCTGAAATTAATTATTTCTATCAAAGATTAATTTTCTTCTAAGAACTAGTCTACATGAGAAATTAATATTTTACCCAAATTTCTCCTTATGGTATGGGGTCTTGCTCAAGTTTCACTAGAGAGTTCCCATGCATCCACTACAGGGAGGGAGAGAGGCCCAGACTGTTTCTTCTACATGATTAGGAAAGTGAAGCAAGAATCTTAAATCATTTTACCTCACACAGAAAAAGGACAGTTACAGAAGCAAATATTGATAGTATCCATTCATGCTGGTGAGTTCAAGAAAAAGCCTCAGTGAACTTTGAGTATCGTAATTTTCCAGACAAGATAATCCACTGTGTGGAGACAAATGCATCAAACAGGTTTAGCTAGATTTCAGTAAAATAACACATTTCTCAAAATACTTCCCTTTGTTTTGATTTTAAGATCTCTAAGAGGGTGATAATTTTGTTCCTTGAGTAATATGTCTACTGGAGAAAAATGCAACATTTGTATGGACATAAAATATCTGGAAACTTTTTATTGCTATTTCTTATTATAAATTTAAAGATTGCCATTGTGGTTAATTAGAGTATGTTCCCAGAAAAGACTCTATCCTTGGTGTGCTCAAAATATTATGTTTCTGAGAGATGAAAGCTGCTGGCCAGGCATTTGATATCCTGGGAAGTCTTGTGGAAAAGGCTGTCCCTGCAGCATTATTGTTTATTTCCAATGTCTAAAAGGTTAATATAGCCTATTATCTCATTGTCTTGGTTATAGAAAAATAGAAAATTTGGATAAATAAAAGGGACCAATGATCTGAGATAAATGGTGAGCCTAAAGAATCATACAGGATGAAACTGCCTGGGAAGAGACAAAGAATTTTTCAGATTGTATCCACGCATTACAACATATTTGCAACCACAATGTCAGAGAAGACTGAGTAAAACCAAAGGAGAACCAGTTCAATTCAAAGTGACTGAAAAAATAAGTTCAAAATTCAAAATAAATGTAAATTACTCAGATTACTGCAATAAATTATAAGTATATACTGTCTAAGTGATTTACAAGCCGTATAAAAGCCTTCTTGTAATCATAATAATGAACAATGGTAAAATAAAATTTCATCCATTTATGATTAAAAGGTATATTTATGAAGTCATCTTATTCTCAAAGTTAATAATATTAATTATAATGACTATCATTGTGAATTCTTATCAACCAGGAATGATTCTGTGTTTCCCATGTAA